ATCCTTGTAGCCCTGTCTCCTCCCACCCTGGCCTCTGGAAGCAGCTGCTCCTCTGCCAGCCAAGATCATTCTTGCCTCAGGGCCTTTACACATGCCATTTCTGCTACTTGGCATGCTCTGATTCACCTTCAAGTTTCCAGTGAAAATATCAGTCTGGTCCCTAGAGTGTTGCCCTTCCTTTCCTTTCCTTTCCCCTCTTTTCAGAAGGAGGGAGGGAACCCAGGGCCAGCCTCATACATGCTAGCAAGTGCTCTAACATGGAGCTACATCCCCAACCTTTTTTTTTCCCCCCTTGAGACAGGATCTTGCTAAATTACCCAGGCTGGACTCCAATTTTCAATCCTCCTGCCTCAGTTTCTTGAGTAACTGGAATGATGTGCACCACCCCACCAGCCTCAGTGTTGCCTTTACTTTGTCCTTCGGGTGTTTTCTTCCAGTACTGACTGCAGTTTATAATTTAACTGTGGTTTTAGATGTTGGCTAGAGAGGTCTTCCAGGAATAAGCTGTGTGGTGAAGGAATGAGTGAGTGAGTGAAGAGACCCCAGGAGAAACTGCCAGTGAAATGGCAGAGGGAATTTCAGCAGACTTTGGACAATGGCCCTGGGCGGAAGCAATGCTTACTCATCCATTTGACACAGGAAGAGACTGTCTTGGCTCAGATCTGATGCTTATTCTCCTAAGACCACAGCTGCCTCTGAAAACAAAGAGCAACAATCGCTGCCAGCACGTGCTTCGTCATTTTTACTTCCTTTTTAAACATTCTTCAATGGATTTTCCTTTATAGGCGTGCATTCTGGTTCCGCTGAGGCACACGGCTGGGGAGGAGGGTGGACCAGGAAAAGTCCCCTCCTGGACACCACCCATTTCCCCATAATGTGGACAGTTTGGAGCAGACCCATCTTCTTTGTGCTCAAACACAGCCAAACATTCCTTATGCAAAGTGTTTGCCCATATTTAATACATTTTTCCCCCTAAACCATCCCATGTTTTGCAACTGGATTTTCTTTTTTTGCAAAACCGGGGATGGAACCCAAGTCTTCGTGTGTGCTTGCCAAACACTCTATAGTTGAGCTGCACCCACTCCCAGCCCATAACCTCACTGGAAATTGAAGGCCAACTGTGTTCACTGTCTGCCTGCATTGTTTTGCTATGAATCCCTTGTGTGTCTGCATCTCATCTGATCCCCGGGAAGGAGGAGCATCCTTACTCTAACATGACACATGAAGGGGTGAAGTGAGCCTTGCATGGTGGCGCATATGTGTGTATGAGGAGCTTCAAAACCAGATGAGGGAACCAGGTGCAGTGAGTGGTACCTGTCATCTCAGCAATTTGAGAGGCTGAAGCAGGAGGATCGAAAGTTCAGGGCCATTCTCTTAACAGTGAGACCCTCTTAAAACATAAAGGGCAGGTGGGGATGTAGCTTAATGGCAGAGAGACTCTGGGTTCAATCCCCGGTACCAGAACTAACAAACACCAGATGAGGTGGCCAGGAATGTGGCTGAGTGGCACAGCCCTTGTCCAGCATGCATGAGGCCCTGGGTTCCATCCCAGCTCTGTGAAAACCAGATGAGACTTCCTGAGATGGTGCTAGGTCTGTTTCTGCTTTGGGAAATGGGCTGGCTTTCACTGGATGGGAAAGTTGTTTATTTTTTTTTTTTAGTTGTAGGTGGACAAAATACCTTTATTTTATTTTTATGTGGTGCTGAGGATCGAACCCAGAGCCTCACGCATGCTAGGTAAGGGCTCTACCATTGAGCCACAACCCCAGTCCTGGATGGGGAAGGTTTTGAGTGGAGAAAAGCCACCCCTCATCAGAAAATTGGTCACAGTTGGTTGGCCTGGAGTCCAGTTTTATGATCTTTAATTTTTAAAATGAATCCAAGGCTGAGGTTTTCATCCTGGTTTGCATAGAACTCAATCAACTTTTTGTTGTACTAAAGTCACCACGTCAGTAAAGATTTCAAACCATGCAGAAATGTATGAGATAAATTAAAAATTCCATCCTGCAACCCAGTCCGCTTTGTAATAGGTAATTGTGGAATTTTCCAGAATTTGTTATTGGGTGTTTGTGTATTTGACTGACTTAACTTTCATCCCTCTTTCCCTCTCCTTCCCTCCCTCCTTCCTTCACCTGTCTTACTATGTTGCCCAGGCTGAGCTCAAACTCCTGAGCTCAAGTGATCTTCCTGCCCCAGTCTCCCAATGTACTTCTGTTTCTATATAGCATAATAAATTATATTAAAACAGCAATGTAACACTATAGAAAACTGACAATGAAATTATAGGAGGACACTGATTATGACTGATTACTGAACTAGGTACCAACAAACCAAATCAAAATGGAGTCCTCATGCCAATGTTCCACTTCACCATAAATGGAAGTGTTTATCTGACCTTCCAAAAAATCAGGAGAGATAATAGCCAAATTCCCACACAGGCAGTTTTTGCTGTCGTGATAAAGAAGATTCCTTTGGTTTAACCCTTGGAAGGAAAAATAACCTGAATTAACTCCATATCAATCAAAACAATCTGCTTTCTTTTCTTTTTTTGTGGTATTTGGGCTTCACACATGCTAGGCAGGCACTCTACCACGGAGGTACATCACAGCCTTTTTTTGTTGAGACAACTGTCTCATTAAGTTGCTCAGGCCGCCTTGAAAGTGCAATCCTCCTGCCTCAGTTTCCCATGTCACTGGGATTACAGGAGTGCACCACCTCGCCTATCTGAAGTGATTCAATTTTTGCTGAAGGTATTTTACTTCATGGCTGTGGCTTTGATGGTGTTACTATCGCACCTTGTCCAGATGCCTCCCTGAGACTAGTGAGCTGTGTTCTTTGATTTGACAAAGTTGGTTAGAGGCAGAAAGACTTTGAATTTGGTAATCAACAGTGACCTTGGGCTGCATCAAACTGGCCATGAGGTGGAACAAAATAACATTTAGGGAGCTCTGGGGCAGAGAATCTTACTCTTAAGGACTTCCCCCCACCCCAGTGCTGGGTATTGAGCCCAGGGCTTGAGCATGCTAGGTAAATACTGTGCCAGAGTTACATCCCTTTACTTCCCCATAGGTACATACATACTGAAGATCGAACCCGGGTGCTTTACCACTGAGCTACAGCCCTGGTCCTTTCTATTATTTTGAGACAGAGTCTTGCTAAATTACTCAGGCTGGCTTTGAGCATGTGATCCTCCTGTTTCTGCCTTCCAGGTTGCCGGGATTACAGGTGTGTGCTGCCATGCCCAGCCCCTTCCTATTTTTAAATGAGATACTAGTCGGGGCTGGGGATGTGGCTCAAGTGGTAGCGCGCTCGCCTAGCATGCGTGCGGCCCGGGTTCGATCCCCAGCAGCACCACATACCAACAATGATGTTGTGTCCGCCGAGAATTAAGAAAAAATAAATAAATGTTAAAATTCTCTCTCTCTCTCTCTGTGCCCCCCTCTCTCACTCTCTCTTTAAAAAAAAAAAAAAAAAAATGAGATACTAGTCAATCCAGAGTCACAAATAATGTAAGATCACTTAATTCCATTTGTTGAAATGTTGTCTTTTGACAGTACCCTGTGGATTTCTCCTTCTAGGCCCACATACATCATCCTTTATCAGCTGATGTCATAGATGAAGGAAATCAAATCCAGTGCGGGCGGGGAGTGACTTACCAGAGTTCACTTATTGTGCCTCATCTGGGACTTGGCCTGAGTTTGCTTGTCCAAAACTGGGACCCACCATTAGGATGGGACTTCAGACACTGTGGAATATATTGTTCACTGTCTTTTCATCAAACATGAATGTAGCGCTAGGGGGATCTGAAGAGAAGATTCAAGCCCCAGAAGAGAAGCCTTTAGCCTGCTTGTGGCAGTGGGATGTTGACAGCTCCAGCTCAGGGTGGCCAAAAATAGGACTGGAGAAACCAGAAGGGCAGTTGGGCCTTTCTGGAGGGTCATGGAAGAAGGGCCTTGAAGATTGGACGAAGGTCCACAGGCAGAGAGGGGGCAAGGGGCAGGGTGGGGTGCAGCTCCCTCTTGACCTGGAAGCACAAGGGCTCCTCCACACTTGACATTCAGGAGTAGAAAGTGGTTCTTCTCAAGGAGTTGCTCCCTGCTGTGACAAGGTGCCAGCCCACACCCAGATGGGAGACTGAGGCAGGTTCTGTCTTCAAAAGACGGTTTTGAAGGATCAAGGAGCCCCCAACTGTGTAGCCTGGGACCCAGCTCTTCCTCTTCCCGGGCCTGTTTCCCCATCTATACTATGGGGTTGTGCAGCTGGCAGAATGGTAGTTGGGCAACACTGTGGCTCGTCTCAGTAGGGACTCATCATCAGATACTCACGAACCCTTAAACCCCCTACAAGCACAGGGGGAGGCAACTTACCCCTCCTTCCCTGGACTGTCTACCTCTGCTTCTCTATTGAATGGGGTGGTCTGAGTTGAAGGCAAGATAGGGTAGAGGTGCCTGGAAAGGGCCTGCTTATTCACCACACTCATCGTACTGTGGGTCTTGCTTGTCCTCAATGATTGGGGGGGGGGTCCTGCACCAGCTCCCTATGGCCCTGTTGTCTGTCTCTAACCTGATGGCAGGGACCTAAATGCATACCACCTGATCAGGAGGCACAGGGAACAATGGGTAGCTTTGATCATGCCCTAGAAGTCACTCCTCAATAGAAGGAAGGCCCAAATGTACCTCTTGCAGCTGAAACCCCAAGCCAGGATTAGGTGAGGCTGATGAGTCATGAGCTGTCACTCCTTGACACCCTCAACAGAAGGCTTGTGCTCTCTGCAATTAACTCCCCGCACAGACCAGGATCCCCCTTCCCAGAGCTTGGCCACTAGCTCTATGGCATCTCTCTGCTTCCCTGGTGATATAAGGACCCTTCACTGGGGCAAGCCTGAGAGACACGAGGGAAGAGTCCTGGGGCCAGCAGAGAGCAGCTCCTGGGCAGCAGCATACCTTCAGTAGCATGTCCGCATTACCATCTTCTGATAGGTCTGATTAAAAACACATCAATTGAGATCACAGGAAACTGGGTTTCCTCTACATTTATTGCAACTGCTAAATGATTGACAACATTCACAACTTCTTAGGTTCTTAAAAAACAAAACTTTCATTTGGTAACATCACAAACATCTTCTAGATTTTACCAAGAACCAAAATCACTAACATTGTCTATGGGATTTCCAGTGATGGAAACAAGTCAGAGACGGTAAGCACCCAAAGTGGCAGGTTAGCACTTTCCGGATGCCTGTCGTCCTCGTGGAAGAGACCCTGGAACTAGAATGACAGAAAAAACAGTGACTTTGACAAGGTCACACACTTGCACATCCCGCTTGCACATAATGCTCCCTCCCTGTAGAATGGCCTTGACCTGAGAGCATTGGTAGCCTGGGTGGAGGAAGAGGAGAGAGGAAGGAATAGAGGTCCAGTAGCATTAGCCCTGGCCCAGCACCAGGACACACAGCCACATTCCCCAAGTTCCCTGGGACATATTCACAGCCTTGACATGAAACTATAGGAAAAGCATCCTCCCAGCATTTATGGGACTTTTTAGGTTCAAGAAATGGTTGTTACTGTGACATTAGTCAAAGGCTCACTGAAATAATCTCAGGTCAAACTAAGATGTGTCTAGGAGTGGCAGGAAGCTCGGGACCAGAGCTCACATACCAGCAATTCCTCAGTATTTTGCTTTTTAATAGATTAAAATTAACAGGTTAGGACAAAGTGTGCACAACAGTCAAAGCTAAGCTGGAAAGAAAGAGCTAGATATCCATGCTGGGGGTGGGGGAATGTGCCCTGCTAAGGGACAATGAGCATTTCTCAAGAGGCCTCTATGGACTAGCGCCTGCTTTGAATTCCATCTGTTCACCTGACCCATGGTCAACATGGAAGTTGCTGGAAAGGTGAGGATAGAAAAGAGAAGATGAACCTCCATACCTGGGGTCCCCCAAATCTGTCCTCCCGCCCCCCCTGCAGGCTGGCTTATTTGAGAGTTGGACTGAGGCTCATCCTCAGTGCTGGCACCTCCTCAGCCATAAAGATCTGCCAGTTGCCAAAGCAACAGAAGTGACCAGAAGCAAGCAGACCCCAGGGACTGCACCTGCCATGAAGAGAAGCAGCATGGAGTGGGGACAGTAGGGCCAGACAGAACCCAGAGGTAGGAGCACAGCCTGGGAGGGCTGTGGCTTTCAGAAAGCAAGGATTCCTCACAGTCCTGAATCTCACTCGGCTCTGTGGCTGACACCCTAATTGTTGCTGGGTAACCCAATCGCTGGGTGTCAGCAGGATTCCAAATTTTCCAGATTTTAGCACACATTTAAAAGTTCAACACTGCTGCTTTATGAAGAAGGGTTGAGATGCCCCCAGTCTGAGCATTCCACATGGAGTTACAAAGTAGGAGAGTGTTGAGGAATCTGGAAAGTTCTGCAATTACCTTCTTGAAATAGCAAACAGCTGCAGAGCCAATCTTCTGAGAGCAGCCTTCCTGTTCTTTACAAAAGCCCAAGACAACAATTCTTTACATTGCTGCACATGTAACAGATGAAGTCTTGGAGAATTTATAGCCTCTTGGCCCTTTGTAGGGAAGACTCCATATGCACTTAAAAAAAATCCAGTGGCTTAGGTGCAGTGGTGCACACCTGTAATCTCAGCTACTTGGGAGGCTGAGGCAGGAAGATCACAAATTCAAGGCCAGCCTGGGCAACTCAGTGAGACCCTGTCTCAATATAAAAAATTATAAGGTTGGGAGATGTAGCTTGATGGTAGTACACTTGCCTAGCATGTGCAAAGCCCTGGTTTCCATTCTCAGCATGGGAGGAAAAATCAAATCCAAAAATACCAAGTATATCCTGTTTCCTTTGTGGATTCTAGTCACACATACATTTGAGAGAAATTTCATATCTGTTTAATGTTACTCCCCACTGAATACAGCTATATTAGACTGTTGCTAAAAACTGGTGAAGTCTCAGGATTTTTAGAGATAAAATGCCATTAATATGTTCAATAAAGCAAGTATCTGAACTGTTCAGAGATCTCCATTCAGCTTTAGTATCAGAGTGTAGACCTGGAGATTACCAATCTGTATCCCTAGATAAAATTCTGGGGGGCAGGAAAGCACAATCTGCACTTGTGTCTGCATGGCCTTTGGCGCTCCAGGACAGCAATGACCCCTGTGCCAGAAATTTAACCATGGAGCTGGGTCCACTGCACTTAATAGGCCAAAGTACTTTTGGACAGTGCCATCTTTTGGAGAGGAACCAAGACAGACTTGGAGAGGACTTGATGCGGAAAGCATTTGGAAGAGAGAGGAAAGGCAAAAAGTATATTGAGAATGGTCATTCTGTTTTTCTTTAAGAGAAAGGCAGGCTGGCGTTGGAAACCTCCACCCCAGAGACTGCAGATGTTGGTTTTCACGTACACACCACACCATACTTGGGCTCCAGGCAGATCCAGGGCAGGATGATGGTTTAAGAGTAATTGCGGCTTCAAGGTTTATCTTTCTCATCAGTGGTTCTGATCTAGTCAGGAAGAGAACGATTTTGTTCAAAACTGAGAGTTGGGAAGTCATGGGTGAAGGGTAACTAAAGAAAGAGTATGAGATTTAAAGGCCCAAGGCCCTTTGGAAGAGAAAGGATTTGAAGACCCTCAAAAAAGGATGTGGCCAACCGCTGATCCTTGTGGTTTTGGCTTCCACGTCCGTCCTTATACTTCCGGATAGCAAGGCCACTCCTGACTAGGGAACAGTCCGTGTCCTGGCTGCATTATGTGGCAGGTGGCTGTCATCTGTGAGAGAAAAGTAGAGCAAGAGAGAGGCCAGAGGCAGCCTGGTCCCATGTGAACTGGCAAGGAACAGCCTGCATGCACGTCCTCAGAGCCCAGCACAGAAGCTACTGCCAGGGTGGTCAGGCCATGAGGCACAGTCCATGAGGCAGGCTGGCCACACCTTAGCTAGTGTGAAGCTCGCTGCTCCAGCAAACCTGGAAGGGAAGAAGTGGGACACATCCATATCCAAAGACCCTTTTATTTCCTTCACAGGATTTTATGATTGTCCGCTTTTGAGGAAGTGGGGAACATCAGCCTTTCTGGGGGAAATGTTACACACCAGGATGTGAGCGTGGGCAGAAGTCCTCATGCACCGGCTCTCACACATACCTATTTGTTGGCCCGTTTGTGTCTGTACATCTGCATCATTCTCTGACGGAACACGTCAAATGTGTCTTCTTTATGCTCCTGCCCTTCGGCACCCAAGCCCTCCCCTTCTGAGGCAGTTCCCCTAAGAAGTAAAATGGAGGATTAGTTGTGCACCTGAGCCCAGAGCTTGGGATGCAGAGACTGGAATATGGGCTGGAGTGGTAGTGGGATACAAAAATGCAGGACACATACAAAGACATCAAAAGAAAAGGAAAATCAAAATAACAAAGAATGGAAAACCAGGAGCACTCACTCATTCTCAAGAGCACTAGCCACCTCAAGGTGCCCGGAAACCCTGGTCCCAGTAAATCACCTTACCCCATAGAAGCTATCTCAGCAGTAAATGAGATGACCTCTGGACGTTATGAGGAGGGTCTCATAAACTCTGGGTCTACGTTTTCCCATTCTGGTGGACCTGTTTCCCTTGGAAGGGAGTGTGATTCTAAGGCATATGTACCCCAAAACACCACTCAGCTTTTATGACCATAATAAACGGGGCTGAAATGACTAGGGCCAAGAAGCAGCTGAATGGTCTACACAGATACAGGAAGGAGCCATGTGAAGGTATGTATATAAATAGTTAATTCTCATTTGAAGGCTCCTTTTGTTTCAAAACAAAACAAAACAAAACAAAAAACAAAGTAATCAAAACCAAAACCAAACAAACCCCCAAACCAAAACCCCAGCTGCCAACTTTAAGCCATTTTCAACACCAGAGGAACCAAGACTCAGGCTGCAGGCCAAAGGCTTTAGGGCTTGACCTTGTCCACCTGTGGGGGCTGCGAGTCTGTGCCACGTACATGCTGACGGGCTCCCGGATGCCCTTCCCGCAGGAGCCCAGACCATGGCCCTCCTTCCAGCCCATCTTTTGCAGCATCTGAAAGCCCAGATTCTTGTCGGTCAGCTTCTGCTGGGCGAAGTCCAAGTCTTTGGGTTTCTGAGGAAAAAGAAAGAGCTGGGCATGTGGACTGCAGGGAAGTGCCTGGAGCCAGAGTCCATTCTGAGCTGTACCTGACACTCCCAGTGTCCTCCCTACTCCCTTGTCACTTCCCAGGATGATCAAACCCCAGTCATCTCCTGGCTTCCTGCAACATCCACAACAGGTGGGACTTCTAAAGGGTAGGGGCCTAAGGGGACATGCCCTTGTGAGACAGAACTGGCATCTGGCTCTGGGGCCTGGCCACTGCTAAGACTGAAGAAAACCACAGAAACAGATGTCAGGTCCTGGGGTTAAGGGATCAGAAAGCACACTCCAGAGTAAGGGGCACCAAGGGATAGGCCTTGACACAAGAGGGGGCCAGAGAGGCAGTGGGGAAATCAGCTCTTCTGAACCTTTCCGCCTGCCACCCTTGGCTTCATTTACTTGCTACCCCACCTTCTCTGTCTGTCTTTCCCAGGGCTGTTTCTACTTGGGTGCCAAGGTCCACGTCTAACATTAAACAGAACTTGCCAAGAGCTGGCACTGTGAAGAACAGGGCCTAAGAAGTGCATTATGGATGGTGGGGAGGTTGGGTACCCTCAGGCCACAGGGTAGAGACCTGGGGAGGTTAAAAGCCCCCAGACCAGCCCCTACCTCTGGAGGAGGAGCCAGTGAGGCTGAAGAAGGAATTTCCAATCACTCTTATTAAAGTAACCTAGATGGGTAGCTTAGGACATTACCCTGTGTGTGCTATTCTCCTTTCTCCCTCTTTAAAGATATTCACTGAATTAACTGGAGAGACTGCTCTGGAGACGGAGGGAAAGAAGGAGGGAAGAGAAGGAAAGATAGAAGGAAGGAGGAGGTAGCAAGCTACATTAAGTAGTATCCTCAATGATCATGAGGAAGATAGAGGCAACTGATACTGGGGATAGCAGAGAAGATCTGATTTTGGAACAGGTATGGGAGCAACTAGGAGAGGGCTGGATGATCCTGGGTGACAGGTTGAGTCCTGTGATCTTAGGGCCTAGCGGGTAGTCAACCCTCAATAGTTTATCCACCTATAACACAGGCCTCAGGAGGCTCGATTCAAAGACCAAGTCACCACTAGTCATGTGCATCGAGGTGCCCAGGAATATCAGCTTCCCCAATATCGGGACTATGGAGTTCTGGAGAGGCCCTCTGGCCATCCCTGGGGTAAAGCTAAGAGCATGAGCCAAAGCAGAAAAGGCTGGACCAGGGGTCCCAACATCACCAAAGGAAGGCAGGCACAGGACCTCAGGTCAGGGAAAGAGGGAGAGGAGAGCCAGGCAAGGAGCACGGTGTGTAGTGCTCTCATCCTAGAGGGGACAAAACAACCTGGAGAGGAGCTGAGTTCACAGACACCAAGGTATATCCCTAAGATATCAAGCAGCAGGGTTGGCATATGTGTGTGAGCTCAAGTGATGCTATGCAGGCTGCATTTCCACACTGCAAGGAAGTCTCTGCAGGGTGTCAAGGAGGGGAGGCAGGAGAGATGAGTTGGGACATGAAGAGGGTGGCAAACAGTATGGCAAAGACACCAGGTGGGAGCTGCCAGCACTGGGAGGTCTCTCACCACCAGGATGTGACCTGAAGAATGGAGAAGGTAGAATACAGCTGCTGGGATGAGAAATGGGGTTGTATCCAGCCCTGCCTATACCCCTTTAGGAAAAGCTGCTGGAGGGTGGAGGGTTTGGTGGGAGGAACAGGGTGGGCTTAGTCTGGATGTATCTTTGTGAACATTTAATTTGTGTTTAACAATCATATTGGTCAGTTTTCTGCAGAGCTGGAAGAAAGCTGCGCCCTGGGGCTGGACTAAGGTGCCACAGAGAAGAGATGCAGGGGTGGTTATTGGCCACCTGCCATCACCAGTGGGAGACCCAAGAGAGAGCAGTGATTGCAGGACATCCAGCAGGCACAGGGTCTGTTTAAACTTTTCGGTACCTCCTACCTGCAGGGCAGGTGTAGCCATCCCATTTTACAGATGTGAGCCTAAGGCTCAGGAGTTACATGCTAAGGTTACCAAAGAATAGGTGGTGAGACTGAGCTTGAATCCAGCTATGCCTGCATCCAAGGCCTGGCTGTGCCTACATTGGGTTGGTACCCTTAATCCAGGTAACACAAACAGGCATCAGGTGCCCACTCAGCTCTGCTTAAAGCGCTGCCTCCCTGATGGCTAAAAACCTGCAAAGTCGCTCCACATGCATCCCAGGTGACCTGCCTAATCCATGCACAATGCAATGTGTCTCTTCTCCATCTGGAGAACATATCCCTTTCCCATGCTCTGCCCAAGAGCATCAGTAAATGGCAGCTTTATTGTCCTTACTTCCCAGGCCAATTTCCCTGGGGTTACCTAGACGCCTGGGTTTTTGCTCTTCGATATTTAGACACCAGAGAGTCCTGCCAGCTCCACTGTCACCTTTTCATCACTCCCTCACCTCATACCTGGTCCCACTGTCCTAAATCTGAGCCTCCTCCTGGGGCCTCTGCTCTGCCTGGATCCCATGCCATAGGCTGCTCTCCACAGAGTTGCATGTCTCTACCCAAACCCTGCTCAAGTCCCAAGGGACTCCCTCAGAGAAGGGCCACAGCGTGGGAGTGTGCGGTTCTGGAGAGGCCCTCTAGGTTATCCCTGGAGTAATGCTAAGAGCATGAGCCAAAGCAGAAAAGGATGGACCGGGGGTCCCAACATCCTATCAAAAGGAGGCAGGCACAGGACCTCAGGTCCAGCTATAGGGTCACATCTGTTGTGACCCTGTGTGACCTGGGTCCCCCCACCCTGTCACTCCACTCCTGCTACATTGCTGGCCTGGGACTGTCCTGGGTCTCTGTCCAGACTGTGCATTCTTAAGATCTCTGAAGGCTCTTCCTCACCTCCTCCAGGTCTGGGCCAGTGACACCTGCCAGGGAGACTTTCCCTGGTTTCTCTGATTCAGTGACACACGCCCAATCCCTCTTTATTCCCCATCTCCTCCTACCTGCTTCTCTACCTACAGCACCACCTCAACTGAGTCACACCCATGTCTGTCACTTGCTGACCTCCCTGCTGCAGCCTAGCCTTTGATAGCTAGAAGGAACCTGTCGTGTGGAAGCTGTTTCTGAGCACACACCCACTTTTTTTTTTTTCCCTCCAGAAGATACACACACACTCTTCATCACAGCCACATTCTATGAAGCTTTAACTTCTCAATGGCCATTATCTTGCTCATCTCTCAAGTCTTACTACACCCATCAGGTCTCATTTGTCAAACTAAGACCCACCCTCCTATACTTTGGGTGGTTTAAAAAGTCCCCTAAGAAGTCTCTGTTGTATTTTGTCTAGTAACATCTCAGTGTGAAATATAGCTATTGGTTACTTTTTTTCTCTTCGCTACTTGGGATTGAACCCAGGGTAGCATTAACACTGAGCTACTTCCCCTGCCTTTTTTTTTTTTTTTTTTTGGCGGGGGACCAGGGTCTTGCTAAGATGCAGAGGCTGTCCTTAAACTTGGGATCCTCCTGCCTTAGTCTCCTCAATCATCAGGATTATAGACATGTGCCCATGTGCCTACCTCACTTCTTTTTTGAGATGGGATCTCACTATATTGCTCAGGTTGGTATCAAACTCTTGGATTCAAGGAATCCTCCTTTCTTAGCTTCCTGAGTAGCTGGGACTATCAGTTTATCACTGTACTTGGTTTTGCCTGAGTGAGGACTTGTTAATGGTTAAGCTCACCTTCTTTTTGGACATGGGACGACCTCGAGGCCTATCATAGGCAATTCGAACTGGTTCATGGACTGAAAGACAAAAGAAAGATATATGTACATACATACATACATACACTTTCCTCAATTTCCTTATAAGGAGACAATTTGTTATAGAGTTTTGGCTCCCAGCTTCTCTGATAATAGAAGGTGCCCTACACTCTGCCCCGATAGTGGCTGCTGCATCCTGGCTCCTTTCAACAATGGCCATGATCCATATAGCAAGTGTAGAGGCTAGATGTGTCCAGAGTTAGCAACTTGGCCCATAGCAAAGGGCTCAACTAAGAGGTATATCACTTTGAAAAAGTCTACTCAAACATAAAAGCTCCCACATTTCTAACAAATGACTTGCTATGTAGATTATCTTCCATGACCACAGGACATTTTAAAATTTTTGTTTGGCAGTGCTGGGGATGGTACTTGCATGGTAGGCAAGTACTCTACCATTGAGCCCCACCCCTAAACATCACAGGAATGCTTTCCTTCAGCAAATGAACTATTTGCAACACTGCCCTCTCAATTTCTCTGCAACTATTCCACTGGTAAGGATTTAAAATCCATCTAAAACTTTCTAATAAAAATCATGCTTTTCATATGGACTATTAATCATACTATTACTATTTTTGATAAAGGGAAGATCAGCAAGCCAGTTTTATTTCATTGACCTCCCAAAGAACAGAGAGCATCCAAAAGAAAAACAAAGAATGCCACCTTCCCCCAGGTGAGACATATTTGAAAAGCATTCTGATGCTGGGTCGCCATCTACAGAAGTTCTACAGGATGGAAGGGTTATGGTGGAACAATTAGCAATCCACTGCAATGTCAAAGTTTCCCAATGTTTCTGCAATATCAAACAAATACCAGGACTCTCCCAAAGGGCACTGCTGCTTGTGAATGTGATGGTCTCACACAGAGGTAGCTGTGATAGCTAGCTGTGAACAGTATCCTCTGCTCTCCCGCATCACTGTCACTTCAGGGAGCAGATATCACTACCCCAGGACTTCTGGGAACCAGAAGGCAGGCTACTCCCCAAGGGAGTCCACAAAGGCTGGAAGACCCAGGCCCAAAGTCAGCGCTCCTCCCAATGGACTCTGGGCATTAACAGAGATAGCTAGCAGTTCATGGAGTGCTGGATGCCATAGCCTAATGAAGAAACAATAACTTCAGATGAACTTGGAAACAGGTTTTGCAGGGCTGGGGATGTGGCTCAAGCGGTAGCGCGCTTGCCTGACATGCATGCGGCCAGGGTTCGATCCTCAGCACCACATACAAACAAAGATGTTGTGTCCGCCGAAAACTAAAAAAATACTAAAAAGTTTTGTCTCTCTCTCTCTCTAAAAAAAAACAAAAAAAAACAAACAGGTTTTGCATTGGCATTATGGAACGGTGTTCAAAATTGATGAAATTATTTTAGATTAAAATCACAGGACAAGGGCTGGGGTTAAAGTTCAGTAGCAGGGCGTGCTCTCAGCATTCATGAGGCCCTGGGTTTGATTCCTAGCATTGGAAAAAAACAAAACATAAAAAACCAAAATCAGAGAACTCCATGCAGTGTTGGACACTTTGGAGCTCTCACACAGGCCTCTGAGGGTGGATATTTGGGAGGTGGTGTCCTACTGAGGTCACCATAAAGGTGGTAAGTATGGGTCAATTATGCAGCTGAGCTATGGCTGAGGGCCAGTAGATTCTTCAGAAATGGTCAGGCAATATCTCCACTACCTTTCACAGTCTCTAAAGCAAGAACTGTGCTGTCATAGGGAGGCACTCACCTTGTGGCTCCTGTATGAGACATACTCTCTTGGGAGCTGGAATCATGCCAACTTTCAGTGATTTGCTGCTGATCCTCTTCCGCGGAAAGCAGGTGCTGGAGGTGGCCTGTGACAAGCCAGGAGTTCCGGCTGGGTCATCCTCAGCACCTTCGCCAGGGAGGCCATCAGCAGGGGGGCTTCCCTCAGAGCCCTCAGACTTGTCAGCTCTTATTCCCGGCCTGGAGGCTCTGTGAGCAAGGGCCTCCTCTCCCCCTTCATCCTCCTCATCCTCTTCCTCCTCATCCTCCTCTTCTTCTTCCTCCTCGGGCATCACCTCTGGGCTCTCCAGCTCAGCCTCCTGCTGAGGGTGCTCATCCTCTAACTCTCCTTCCCTTTCTGCATGGTCTAAGGGGCTCTCCTGAGAGTCTGCACTCTCGCCACCCATGCTGGCCTGAAGGCTGAGGGGTGATGATGTAAAACAAATAGATGGGCACAGTTCAAACACTTTCTTCCGGTAGAATTTGAAAGCAGAACTATTTTGGTCATGTAGGAACCTGGGACACAGATGAAATACACTATTAACCAGAGGATACCTTTAAACATTTTTATTTGCTAAAATATTCTGGGATAAATACAATGAAGCTGGGGGTGAGAAAACAGAATGAACTACCAGGCCTCTTCTGTCACAGCTGTGGTTTGATGGTGCAGCTTCTCAATGAGATAAAGTGATAAGAACTAGTAACTTAGCAAAGGAACCAAAAACCTAAGAGGCCTAACTGCTTTTCAGGGGAAGGAGGTGAAGGAACAAGGAATTTGTAGACAACCAAGGATGATGATAGAACCAGCTTTGATGCTGCAGCCAGGAGATCTGACATGGGCAACACCTCATCCTTTCTGGTAACGTAACTGGCCTCTCTCGGCCTCCACATATGCATTCTGATCTCTGGTTCTTCTCACACTCTTGAGCTATGAGACGTGGAAATGTGCCAAGAAACACTACACAGCTACTGCAGAGATCCAAGCTCTAAAGAGCTGTGAGGCAGGCCTCAGAGAGGGCTTATCATTGCAGAAGCTCTTCCACTGAGTCCTGCAGCACAGCAGATGGACATGACCATGAGGCGTCGCAGTCTAGTGGTCACCTCTGACCTTAATCATAGTTGTGGGGCTGTGGCTGATATGAAAATGTAACACTCCAAAGGAACAAAAGTCCACCTGGATCAAAGGAAAGACAACTCTTTCTTCTGGATAGGATAACTCAACTCTAAAAAGATGCCAGTTCTCCCCTAATTAATGTATAAACATCCCAATAAAAACAATTTTCTCTGGATTAGGACAAGAGGATTTTAATATTCATTAAAAATAAATAAATACATTAGACTATCTGGGAAAACACAATACCAACAAGGGTACCTCATCAAATACTATAAGATGTCATAACTGCCTTTGTGAGGGTGAAAGAGCCAAGTAGTCCATATGGCAGACCAACAGAATATACTAGAAAGCCCTGAAACATGGGATCTGATGAATATGGCCTCTAAAATTACTGTAATAAAGGTAGTGTTTTCAGTGAATGGTGTGGAACAACCAGACAGCTTTCTAGAAAAAAATTTAGGCCTAGGTATAGTGGCACATGCCTATATGCCCAGTGACTGGGGAGGCTGAGGCAGGAGGATCACAAATTTGAAGCCAGCTTGGGCAACTTAGTGAGACACTGTCTCAAAATAAAAAGGGCTATAGATGTAGTTCAGTGGTAGTAAACACATGCCTAGCCTGTGCAAAGCCCTAGGTTCAATCCTTGGGTGGTAATGAGATTGGGGATACATACCACAGATCAGGATTATCGGTGCTGTTTTCTATGCTGAATTGCTCAATCTCTGGTCCCACCTGAGCAACAAATCTGGCCAGTTTCTCTGCAGTCTCCATGGTCTTCATGTCAACTACAAAACATAAGGGACCTGTCATGGCTTCTGAGCTGCTGCTACTTCCTACATAAACATTGTAGAGCAGTGAAAACTGACTGTAAAGATGGCCCTATGTCCCTCCTTGTACTCTGCCCTTTGCCAAGTGACTCTGCAACTCTGTTGAACAGGAGACTCCCCCCCACCCCCATTTTAGAAATGGTTGACAAGATATGGCAGAAGTGTCACTTGCCAATTACAATCTAGGCCTTGGAGGCCTCAAGCATCCCTGTCTCTCCTGGAGCCCTGCCCTGTCAATCAGGTAGCACACCTGGGTCTGGCTGCTGTGGGTATGTGGCCTAGACACCCCTGTTTTACTTCAGTCCCCAGCCCCAGACAACCCTAATACTGACCACAGTCACATATGCAGGCCCAGTTTACCAGATACTAAGGAATAACAGAAGCCTCATGTGTACAGCCATAGTATAGTTTTATTGTGACAAAGCGATAGGCAGAGAATATAAGAGATTAGAGTATTACTACCTGCAATTAAGCCTCATTATACAGAGAGACAGTAAGGCTTAAAGGGGACTAAGAGAAACAGAAGGGGTTGTTACTCAACTCAGAAGCCAGGGATGTCAACTAGCCCTCAGCACAGTACTAGAGAGGTCTTGGTGAGGAAGAGGCAGAATGAGAGACAAAGGCAGTCCAGAATATCAAGGGAGTCAAGGATATACAGATGGCCCCTGCTGGTTCTGCTTCTAAGGATTTAACCAAATGCAGATTAAAAATACTAAAGTTGGACACGGAGGCACATGTCTGTAATTCAAGATGCTTGGAAGTTTGAGGCAGAAGGATTGCAAGTTCAAGACCAGCCCTGGCAACTTAACAAGACCCTGTCTCAATATAAAAAAATAAAAAAGGGCTGGGGTTGTGATTCAGTGGTAGAGCACTCGCCTAGCATGTGCGAGCCCCTGGGTTCAATCTTCTTTTTTTTTTTTTAAAGAGAGAGAGAGAGAGAGAGAGAGAGAATTTTAATATTTATTTTTTAGTTTTTGGCGGACACAGCATCTTTGTTTGTATGTGGTGCTGAGGACCGAACCCGGGCCGCACGCATGCCAGGCGAGCGCGCTACTGCTTGAGCCACAACCCCAGCCCCCCCTGGGTTCAATCTTCAATCCGCATGGAAAAATAATGGTCCATCAATACCTAAAAAAATATATTATACATAAATAAATAAATAAATAAAAAGAGCCAGGTATGGTGACGCAAGCCTATCATCCCCAATGGCTTGGGAGGCTGAAGCAGGATCAAGTTCAAAGCCAACCTTGGCAACTTAGCAAGACCTTAGCTAAGCACTTAGACCCTGACTCAAAATACAAAAAGGGCTAGGGATGTGGCTCCGTGGCTAAGTGCCTCTGGGTTCAATCCCTGGCAATAATTAATTAACTAAATAAATGTACCATGGGAGTTAAAAAAAAAAAATCAACCAAAATACTCAGAAAAAAATTGCTTCTGTACTGAAGAAATTACTGATTTTTCTTTTTCATGTTCCATAAATAATGTAACAACTGTTTATGTAGCATTTATGTTGTATTAAGTACTACAAGTAATCCAGGGATGATTTAAAGTCTGTGAGAGGATGTGCACAGATTCTATGCAAATACTCCTGTTTTATAAAAGAGACTTGAACAACAGTGGATTTTGGTTTCTTTAGGAGGCCCGGGAACCAATTTCCCGAGAGGAACTGAGGGACGACAGTATAAGAAATGGAATCAGAGGGCTGTGGTAGAGTTGATAGAGTGCATGCCTCACATGCACAAGGTCCTGGGTTCAATGCTTAGCACTACACACTCACATACACACACACACACCCACAAAAAAAAA